TTCCATGTATTTGCGTGGTTTTGAGGGTTTCTTTTGGAGTCGATTTCCAATTTTATTCCACTGTGGTCGGACAGAATACTTGATATAATTTTGATTTTCTTAAACTGATTGAAACTCATTTTATGGCCTACCATATGGTCTATCTTGGAGAATGTTCCATGTACTGATGAATAGAATGTCTATTCTGCAGTTGTTGGGTAGAATGTTCTGTAAATGTCCGTAAGTCCATTTGTTCTAGGGTATAGTTTAAGTCCATTGTTTCTTTGTTGACTTTCTGTCTAGTGCTGTCAGTGAAATATTGAAGTCTCCCGCCATTGTTGTGTTGCCATCCATCTCATTTCCTAGAACTTTTATAAATGGGAGCTCCAGTGTTTGTTATATATATTTAGCACTGTAATATTTTCCTGTTGTACTAGTCTCTTTATCATTATATAATGTCCCTGTTTGTCTTTTTAAACTGTTGGTGCTTTAAAGTTTGTTTTTTTCTGATATAAGAATAGCTACTCTTGCTTGCTTTTTGTGTCCTTTTGCCTGGAATGTCTTTCCCCTTCACCTTAAGTTTATGTGAGTCTTTATGTGTTAGGTGAGTCTCTTGAAGACAGCAGATACTTGGTTGGTGAAACTTACCCATTCTGCCATTCTGTATCTTTTAAGTGGAGCATTTAGGCCGTTTAGTTCATTGTTAGTATTGAGATGTGAGGTGCAGTTACTCTATTGTGCTAACAAATACTAGTTCTTATTCCTCTATCTGACTGTGGTTTTGTACCCATTAACTATCCCATCTTTATTCTCCTCTGCCCACTGCCCTTGCCAGTTGCTAGTTACCATCATTCTATCCAACATTCTCTGTTTTTGACACTTTGTTCCTCTGGTTTTGTAGCTTTTTGTTCATGATATTTTTACTCTATGAGCATGTTTAAGATGATGATTGATAGACTTTGTCTACTGAGTATGATGTCTGTTTTTCCTCTGTACAGTTTCTGTTAATTTCCCTCTTGAATGGGCCACATACTTTGTTGCTTCTCTGCACACTTTACATATATTTAAATGGACATTTAAAACATACAGTATGATATCTCTGGAGGTTAGATTGGTTCTCATTCTCATGTTTTTTTTTGTTGTGGTTGTTGCTTTCTGTCGGTTGCAGTTGTTTGTTTAATGACTTCTAAACTATTTTCGTAACTTTGTTTTCTTTGTTATAAGTGGTTTCTGTCTTAGTCTATTTGTCCATGGTAACAAAATACAGTAGTCTGGTTTGCTTCAACAAAAGACATTTATCTTCTTGTAGTTCTGAAAGCTAATTGTGTGTCATAAGGGTACCAGCATGGCCAGTTTCTGGTGAGGGCTGTCTTCCTGACTTGCAGATGGCTGCTGTCTTGCTGTGTTCTCACCTGATGGGGTGGTGAGGGAGACGGCAATTTTTTTTTTTTTTTTTAATTATTTAGTTTTCCTTTCTAGTCTTTCAAGCTTGAAACAAGTTCTTTGGTATCTCTTCTTACAAGGGCATTAATCTTTTTATTAAATAACTTTTTATTTTTATGAACTTAGGAGTACAAGTGCAGTTGAGTTACATGGACATAATGTAAGGGCACTAATCCTATCATGAAGGTTCTACCTTCATAACCTCATCTAATCCTAATTACCTCTCAAAGACCTCATCTCCAAATACCATCATAGTGGATTTTAGGATGTCACCATAGGAGGATACAGATATTCAATCCATAGTAGTCTCTTGTTTTTAATCTGTGGTCTACTAGTGTTTTGTTTTTCAACTTTTGTTTCAGATTCAGGGGATACAGATAGAAGTTTATTACCTGGGTATATTGTGTGATGCTTGAGGTATGAAATGATCTTGTCACTCAGGTACTCAACATAGTACCGAATAGTCAACCCTTGCCTCTCTCCCCATTCTAGTAGTGCAGTTTTATTGTACCATGTTGCTGTCCATGAGTACCTGATGTTTAGCTCTCACTTGTAAGTGAGAAAATGTGGTGTGTGGTTTTTTTCTTTCTGCATTAATTTGCTTAGGATTGTGGCTTCCAGCTTAATCCATGTTGCTGCAAAGGACATAATGTAGTTCTCTTGATGGCTGCATAGTATTCCACAGTCTATACATGCCACATTTTCTTTATCCAGTTCACTGTTGATGGGCACATGTGTTGATTCCATGTCTTTGCTATTGTGAATAGTGCTGCAGTTAACATGTGAGTGCATTTATCTTTTTGGTACAATGATTTTTTTTTAATACATACACAGGGATTGCTGATTTAAATGCTGTTTTAAGTTGTTTGAGAAATTTACAAACTGCTTTTGTAGTGACTGAACTAAGTTGTATTCCCACCGACAGTGTATAAATATTCGCTTTATATCTGCAGCCTCACCAGCATCTGTTTTTAAAAATATATATTTTATTAATAGTCACTTTGACTTGTGTGAGATGGTATGTCATTGTAGTTTTGATTTGCATTTCTCTGTGATTGTTGATGTGGAACATTTTTTCATGTTTGCTGGCCATGTGTACATCTTCTTTTGAGAAGTGTCTATTCCTGTCCTTTGCCCATTTTTTAATGGGGTTACTTGTGTTTTCCTTGTTGATTTGTTTAAGTTGCTTATAGATTCTGGATATTACATCTTTGTCAGATGTGGAGTTTGTGAATATTTTTTCCCATTCTGTAGGTTGTCTGTTTACTCTGTTGATAGTTTCTTTGGCTGTGCATAAGCTCTTTAGTTTAATTAGATCTAACTTGTCAATTTTGGTTTTTGTTACAGTGGATTTTGAGAACTTAGTAGTAAATTCTTTGCCAAGATTGATGTCCAGAATGGCATTTCTTAGATTTTCTTCTAGATTCTTATAGTTTGAGGTCTTATATTTAAATCTTTAATCCATCCTGAGTTATTTTTTTATATGGTGAAAACTAGGGGTCTAGTGTCATTCTTCTGCACATGGGTAACCAGCTATTCCAGCACTGTTTGTTTATTCAATAGGCAGTACTTTCCCCATTGCTTATTTTTGTAGACTTTGTTGAAGATCAAATGGCTGTAGTTGTGCAAGCAGCTTTATTTCTGGGTTCTCTGTTCTATTCCCTGAGTGTGTATGTCTGTTTTTGTGTAGATTCCATGCTGTTTTGATTATTGTATCCTTACAGTATAGTTTGAAGTTGGGTAATGTGATGCCTCCACCTTTCTTTTTGCTTAGGATTACTTTGACTATCGGGCTCTTTTTTGGTTCCGTATGAATTTTAGAATAGTTTTTTTCTAGTTTTGTGACAAATAACATTGGTAGTTTGATAGGAATAACATTGAGTCTCTGGATTACATTGGGCAATGTGGCCATTTTAATGATATTGATTCTTCTAACCTGTGAGCATGGAATGTTTTTTATTTGTGTTGTCTCTGATTTCTTTCAGCAGTGTTTTGTAGTTCTCCTTGTAGAGATCTTTCATCTCTTTGGTTAACCATATTCCTAGGTATTTCGTTTTCTTTGTGGCGATTGTAAATGGAATTGTGTTCTTGATTTGGCTTTCAGCTGGAATGTTATTGGTGTGTAGAAATGCTACTGATTTTTGTACATCAATTTTTGTGTCTTGAAACTTTACTGAAGTTGTTTATCAGTTCCAGGATCCTTTTTGCAGTCTCCAGGGTTTTCTAGATATAGAATCATATTATTTGTGAAGAGAGATATTTGACTTCTTCTTTTCCTATTTAGATGCCTTTTATTTCTTTCTCTTGGTTGATTGCTCTGGCCAACACTTCTAGTACTACGTTGAATAGAAGTGGTGAGAGTGGACATCCTTGCCTTGTTTCAGTTCTCAAGAGGAATGCTTCCAGTTTTTGTCCATTCAATATGTTAGTTGTGAGTTAGGCTCTTACTATTTTGTGATACGTTCCTTTGATGCCTACTTTCTTGAGGGTTTTCATTGTAAAGGGATGTTGGGTTTTATTGAAAGCTTTTTCTGCATCTATTGAGATGATTGTATGGTTTCTGCTTTTAATTATGTTTATGTGGTGAATTATATGTCAAACCCACCTTGTATCCCAAGAATGAAATATACTTAATTGTGGTTAATTAACTTTTTGATGTGCTGTTGGATTGGTTTGGTGGCCTGAGAATAAAATGCCTACACTGCCACGAGCCAGGTCACCAGAGAATGGCTGACTTTATTAATGTGCCCAGCTTAAAAATGGCATCCTGCTAGTTAATATTTGCTTAGTCCGGTCACAAGTATGTCCTCGTATATTTTTTTCAAGAGCAGCACCAGAAGTATAATTTCATATATGTAGTTAATTTTTTTTAGTGTTTATGTTAAAAGGGTAAAAAGAAATGTGTGAAATTAATTTTAACATTTTTATTTAAGCCAATATGTCAAAAATTTCCATTTCAACATGTATTCAAAGGAAAAATTATTAATGAGATAGCTTACATTTTAAATTTTGGTGCTAAGTCTTACCTGGTGTGTATTTTGTACTTATAGCACATCTTAACTCAGTTGAGCCACATTTCAAGGACTCACTAGCCACATGTGTCTAGCAGCTACCAGAGAGCAACTGGTAGTGGCTATCAGACAGCACAGATCTAGAAGTTTTATAGTTTTAGATTTTACTTTAGGTCTGTTACATATTTTGAGTTAGTTTTTATATAAAGTGCAAGGTATGGGTTGAAATTCATTTGTTATACGTGTGGTTGTCCATCAGAATCTTTGACTAAAAATTGTTCTTGGTAATTGGAGATCATCCTGGGTATCAAAGCTCAAGATTTAAATATACTTTCTTTTGCTGCTTTATTGTCTTTTTCTTTCAGAGCAATGTAAATTTATTTTGTAATTAACGATGTTCATACCATATATGTAAAATGCTTAGAAGTGTTAAACTTTTAGTGTTTTGGCTTTATTTATATACCTATTTGATTTTAAATTACATATTATGCTATTTACATTTTTAAGTCTGATTTACCTCCCCATTTCTAAAATTATATGTAAAATGCTTATTTACTTTCTTTCTAGGCATGTACTGGCATTGAAAACATTGATGAAGCTATTACATTGCTTGAACAAAATAATTGGGACTTAGTGGTAAGTAGTTTTTTCTTTCTCTGACCAGTAATCAAGTTTTATGAATTCTTAATCTCTTTAATTATTTTTTATAGATGGGTTCAGCACACCATAGCTCATCTATAACTCTAAGCTGAGTTAATAAAGTCTAAATGCCGTATCTTTAATATGGAGTTTATATTTCGCTCAGTATTAAGTTATTATGAATACTTAGATAATTTAAATGACTTTTAAAGTTGTTCTCTTATTTTACTGTGTGTTATGGTTCATCTTCCCATGTAGTATTTTGGTGGAGATGCTTGGAAGGAGAGAAGAGTCAGACTTATCTGACTGTCTGAATAACATATTTGATGTTTCCCCCTCACTTCTGGGGCCTTCACTGATAATTAGTCTTTTCTAAAGCTGTTAAAGTAGTTGCATTCTGCTGTAGTTTTCCTTATAAACTTCAGGCAGTATATTATAGAGGTGGCTTAGTTTTTTCTTTTTTCTTTTTTGGCAATAACTCAAAAAGCAAGGCACAGCATAGCACTAAACATTCACCTATTACAAAGCAAACCAAAAATGGATTGTATAATGGCATTGGAGCAGTATTGGTTGTGTCAGGATGACACAGATGTCTCTTAATGCCTTAGAAATGCTAAGAAAAGTTTAAATTATAATTTTTTAAGAAGTGCTAATTTTCAAAAGTCAAAACTTGGCCGGGTGCGGTGGCCCAAGCCTGTAATCCCAGCACTTTGGGAGGCCGAGATGGGCGGATCACGAGGTCAGGAGATCGAGACCATCCTGGCTAACACAGTGAAACCCCGTCTCTACTAAAAAAATACAAAAAAAACTAGCCGGGTGAGGTGGCGGGCACCTGTAGTCCCAGCAACTCGGGAGGTTGAGGCAGGAGAATGGCGTAAACCCGGGAGGCGGAACTTGCAGTGAGTTGAGATCCGGCCACTACACTCCAGCCTGGGTGACAGAGCAAGACTCCGTCTCAAAAAAAAAAAAAAAAAAAAAGTCAAAACTTAAGATGTGTACTTATAGAAGTGAGTTTAGGTATGTAGGTATATGCATACATGTGTTATGCGGACTTAACATAATTAACTCTTGGTGTCTCTGTGCTTTGTGTAGACTTACTACTTTTTTAAACTCAGAATATGAAAAGCTTTTCTTTTCAGATTGTAAAAGTAATGATGCTTAATGTAATGAAATGAGATGAAAAATTTACAAAGAAAATATTAATTACCTTTAATCCCATCACTCAGATAATAATTATTTCACATTTTTAAGGTATATTATTCCAGATTATCTTCTATAATTATGTGATTAAATTTAAAAAATGTACAAGTGAGATTGTTTTATACCTTCTGTTCTGTAATCTGCATTTTTCACTTAATTGTGGCTGTTCATCATTCTTTTTAATGTTTGCATAGTATTTCATAGTGTCACTGTAACATAATTAACCGACTAGTCCTATGCTGTTGGGTATTTAAGATTTTTGCAGCATTTTGCTATTATGAACATTACTGTAGAGAACATTCCTGCATGCACATGTTGCATATTTAACCTATTTTTTTCCAGAAGAAATTGAATAAATTCAATTCATAATTGAATTTTTGAGTCAAATTACATGCATATTTTTGGAGTTTTGAATACTTTTAACCAAATGGACTTCCAGATTGGTTTTACTAATTTAAAATTCTACCAACTATGTATGTTTTTGATATTTCCATTTCATTAAACCAATGCTTCCTTATCTTTTTTGTGTTTTGGTACTTGTCAAAATTTAGAAATATTTGTATAGCTTGACTCTAAATTCATGCTTTTAACCATTGTTGCTATACTCCAAGAAAACATGATATAGGTGACAGCTCAATGATTGCCATATAGAGGAAGGGAGAAAGGGCAGCAGCTTAACTGAAATGATGCTCCCAAGTTTCTCGTCTTGAGTCCTCTTTTGCAATAACAAGTGCTTTGCTTTATTTAGTTGTGTATTTTGGGAGTGTCTATTAGAGAGGCTGATTGAAATTATTGGGGTGGTTAAAAATTCCTCCAACCCCCTCTTGCATGGTACTTGTAAGAGGGATATGGAATAGAGGAAAGGATGATGGTGGGCTGGGAGTACAAGTCTTTAATGGGGGAATTACCAGTTTTGAGGACGGATGTATGTTCTTTCCTTATCTGCTTCCTATTGGTTCGTGTCCATTAATTTTCAAGGTTAAAACACTTACTGGTAGTGAATATTTTATCAGTATAGCCTATGCAGAATATTGCAAAAGGAGAATTTTCCCAGATAATGTTGAATAATTGAATGGTAAGGTACTCTTTCACTATTTCTGAGTTATTTTATTTTGGAAAATATTCTAACGACACTTGGGTTTAAAACACTGGTGTTATATTTGTGCAGAAATGCAATCATACACTGTATCAGGCCCAAGCAAAAACATCAGGCTGTCTTTCAGAACCTTAAATTTTGACTTTCTTTCGAGATATATCTATCTCCCAGCTGGCTTTTCTTCATAAGTAATTCACTTTTATTCACAGTAAAGATTTCTTGTGCTTTGTGACTATCTTGTGTGTACATTTGATCACTTCTCCTGTTTTCATACAGCATTCACTTTGTTGTTTTTTAAAAATGAAACTTAAATATTTTGAATAACCCATCACTAGTTTTAACTTTTTAGTAGCATCATGGAACTTTACGTGATGTCCTCTATATTTTGCCTGTGCATTATATTTTGTGTTTCTAAATTATGACTGTCACTGATCTGCATTTTCTAGGGTTTACAGAACAATTTGCATTAATTGAGTTTTAACCTGGGACATGTCTGTATTTTATATTTCCTGCACATATCACTTGGACCTCTCTCCTCCAGTGTTTTTGTGCACATTTTTGCTAGGGAAATGTAAAGGAATCTGAGTTAGGCACTACAGTCTGGAATTGTGATGAACTTAAAAAAAATCTAATCAAAAAATGCATTGAGTGAGCGTTGAGTGCTTACAGTGCATCCAGATTTTTGCTGGATACAGTGGGGGCTTAAAAAATATAACAAGATATAGTCTCTAACTTTGAGAATTGTGCTGAGAAATCAATAAGACACAAGGTCTCTGATCCGTGTGTATTACACAGGTCGAGTATTCCTTCTCTGAAATGCTTGGGACCAAAAGAATGTCCAGATTTTGGATTTTTTCAGATTTTGGTAAATCTGAAAATTTAAATATACATTATACTGTTGAATATTAGTATCGCTAATCCAAAAATCTAAAATTCAAAATGTTGTATCGAGCATTTCCTTTCAAACATCATCCATAATGTTCCATTGAGCATTTCCATTCGAACATCATGTTGGCACTCAAAAGATTTAGGATTTTGGAGCACTTTGGATTTTGGATTTTTGGATTAGGGATGCTCAAAGTAACTTCCTAAAAAAATGGTGATTGCAAATATTTTAGTTATTTTGTAGATCTAAACACACAACAGTTATTCTATATGAATATAGAGCCCAGCCCTAGGAGTTCTGATTATTAGTCACCTTCCCAGACCTGGCACATTATTTTTGTTGTGTGGGCTGCTGTCTGCAAAAGAGGTATTCCAAACTCTATGTTTTAAGTACTCCACAGTTGGCTCTACTTATTTTGGGGTAACTGCAGGTTAGATTGTATATATCAAAATTCTGAAAACAAAGTAACATGTACTAATACTTTTAGGAAATGTCTCAGCTTACTGTTTTACTTGACAGGAACCCCGTAGGTCTCTCCCAAAGTTATCTCCCTCTGACTGTTACCATTTTTCACATGTCCTGCGCTTAGAGTTAAGAGAAGATGAATGTCATTACAGTTGAGATTCCTCCCTTGAGATGAGTATTTTCCATTTATATCCAGAAAGGTAAGTACATAAGGAAGAACTAGTGACAGTGAGTTAGAATCTTTTACCAAAGGGCTTTTTCTGTGGAAGTGTGCTACATGGACATTATAAATTCTAATCTGGGCCCCAGAATTGACCCATATCTCACTTTCTGTTTTCACTATAGAAGAATTTGGGCCAGGGGAGAATAAAAATTTATATTGCTTGTGTAATTTTGACTAATCAAAATGCTAGCTATAGTGGTAAACACACTGCATTAATTGAATGAACAGCCCTGGCTTTTCAGACCTCTTAGTAATTTATTGAATGTGGCCTTGGCCAAGTTACTTCTCTCTAACTTCTGAATTCCTCATATAAAATAAAAGGTTTGTACACTAGATTATACTCAAGCTTCCGTGATACATGAAGTATTTCTGAAGGATCTATTATGTCCTGATTTTTTGTTAAAATTCAATGAATAGCAGTCAATTATAAATAGTAGTACAGATTTTTAATAGATCTTCATAAGTTTGAAACATTTGTACACATACTATTAAAAATTATTTTAACAACTTTATAGTGTAGATGATGGCAGGAGAAGATGCTCTTCCAGTTGTTTTACACACGATCTCTAGATATGAAACTCCTTCAATAAATTAAAATTTCCGATAATCTCTAGCAGATCCAGGGAAAGCTATCTGACATATACTTGATAACCCAACGTTAAGTGAAATAAAGTGGAAGTAAACATTAACCTAGCCATACTACATTTTAAGTACTCGATGCTCTTAGGAAATGATTTTTGAACTTTGCACTCAGTTTCTGCTGTAGTTTGCTGCCTGTCCTGACATTGCTGTTTTACTGAAGAAAGACTCTATTCAGAGTGCTTATATTGATCTTTAACTACGTTTCAACCTACAAGAGTAAAACAAATCTGCATATGTATTTCTATATTGTCATTGAATTTTTAGTCCTCGAAGGTAATTTTGTACTAATAGAAGCTTATAGTACAGTCATATACACTGAAGAGTCAAAACTAGGGAAAATTGTACTGCACATAATCTGCCTCATTTTAAGATCCATTGAGGTACTTTGAGAAATTTCCTCCAATTTTCACTTTTGAAGAAGCATATCTTAATGATTGCCCTAAAATTTCATGCAACAGTTTCTTCCACTACTCTGCTCAGGATGT